ACTATGAGTCAGAACCGACTCGATGGCACTTAACAACAATATACTATGAGGGGGCTTCAAAAGCTCATGGAAAATGGAATCAAAAGATAATGGAATTTTCCCACAAACTTTTTGAAAACCCCTGTTCTCATCCCCATTTGACATATGAGGAAACTGAAGCTTAGAAACGTCAAGCAATTTTCCTGCCATCTCTGTACTAGTGAGTGATGGAGCAAGGATTAGAACTCAGGGTGTCTAGTTCCAAAGCCATAGTCTTTCCCTTCGGGACAGGATCACTGCAGAATGTATGGGGTCAGATAAACTCCCTCAGGGAAGTTAAGGAGGAGGTCAGATTACGAGGTTTAGGGTCCTTGTAGGATGTAGACCAGAAGGAATGTTGATTAAGGAGGTTCTATGCCCACCATGCACACATAGTAGCCCTGGGTCAAGAAGGGAGAAGCAATTCCATTTCCATCTCCAGGATCCTCTGAACACTGGAAGGATGTGTCTGGAAGGGCTGAAGGAACCTGAGGCCACAGAAGAGGACCCCTCAGGACAGTCCTGGGATGGGCCCTGTATTACTCAGCACATCCTCGCTTTCCCTGCAGGAGAACTTGGACCAATGCCTGGCCAATGTACCTCACACACATCCACCATCTGTCTGTTAGTGAAAGCTTGCATGTTGCTAGGATACCAAGCAGGTTTCAGCACAGCTTGCAGACTCAGACAGACTAGGAAGAAAGGCCTGGTGATCTACTGCCACCAATCAGCCACTGAAAACACAGTGGGTTTGACCTTAGACAAATAGTTAACCTCCTTTGTAATTGGAAATAAAGTCAAGTCTAGCTCATAGGGTTGTTATGAGGATTAAAACTGAATAATATAAATTATTAGGATAGTACCTGATGTACAGTAAGAGCTATGAAGGGATATTATTATGAATCCTCAAAACAACGCTCTCTAGATTATTATACCCATTTTATGAATGAGGTTCTGTGGCTAGGAGAGGGGCAATCACTTGCTCACAGACACAGAGCTGGTATTCAAGTCCACAGCTCCTTGGACCTGTCACCAGGACCCAAAAGCACAGCTCTGAACCTTGAATCTTGCTGCTTCCTGAGGTAGGGGACATAATCCATCTAGTCCCCTTTTCAATCGTGGTGAGGACAACTTGTCCCTCCCCAGAGTAGTCCCAGTCCTTAAACACTAAGGCAGAAATAAATGAGAATCCCAAGAATTCTCTAGCTCTCCTTCCCGGATGTTAGCCTGCAGAAGCCCCCAAAGCCACTGTGTGTGTGTGTGTGTATGTGTGTGTGTGTGTGTGTGTGTGTGTGTGTGTGTGTGTGTGAAGGGGTGGCTATGGGAGTGAGCCAGTCTGGGAAGACACGACAGTCTTCCAAAAGCAGCAACTATAAACAATACCCTGTCACCCCACACCCTACTGTCCTTCCCCTCAGCTGAGCAATGCCCCCCCTCCACCCCCCGCAGGCCCCAAGTCAGCTGCTTCTGCAAATACATAAACACATAAATCGCATGGGAGAGCTGGCAAAGTCACAGAGGGAAAGGCAGATACCAAGACTGGAGGAGGAGACAATGGGAGGAGACCCCGCCAAGGTGGAGGGAGGAGCTGGCCAGCAATGGGCATGAGTCTGGAGACTGAGGAGGGATGGAGGAAGGCCAGGCAGGGGGAAGGAGAGAAGGGGACTGGACGGGTGGATTAGGTGAGAAGAGGTGAGGGAGAACCAGCGTGGCTGGCTGAGCAGAGGCCACCTCTCTCCTCACTGGCTTGTGCAGGCTCACAGGTATCTGGGAGCCACCAGGGGACAGGATGAGTCTCCGGGAAACTCTGGAACTAGACTTCCTTCTTGGCTCTAGGAGGAGGGGGAAATGTCACATCCCCTCCCGTCAGCCCAGGGAGGCACCCACATGTGTGCAACTGCTAAGACAGAGCCATAAGCATTCCCTGGCGTTGGCAGTGTCCGCTCCAGCCAGGAGGGCAGCTGTGGAGAGGGGAGAGGGCGATGCAAAGCCGCTAGGAAAGCAGGGGTGCCAAGAGGCCCACGTTCCTCAGAGCTCTCCACAAAGCCTGAACCCAGACATCTAGGGCCAACACCCCACCGCCCACGTGGTTCTCATTAGGCTCATTAGCAGCAAAATAACAACAGGCAAGCAGCAAAAGCGATCTGCTAATTAGCACAAAGACCTTCCCAGGGAACAGACCTCAAGTGAGAAAGGTCTGCACCCACTGGTAGTTTGCACCAGGAGAGCCTCCAGCCCGTGTGGGGTGAGAGGTCAGGGGGTGAGGAGCCGCAGGGTGGAGGGGGCATCCTGGAGCAGCCCCCGCTGGGCAGGAGTGTGCGTGTACACATGCACTGGTACTGTGTGACAATCTGCAGACTCACCAACCCTGAGTCTCCAGTGTGGAAACTCCATCTTGCTGGAAAATCACAAGCAACTTAGGAAACTGAGAACCCCCAAGAGCTGAAGGGCCAGAAGGAGGCCCAGGCCCAGAATCCCCTAGAAGCTAGGGAGAAGCCCACCCCCTCTGAAGCCATCCGGTTCCAGATGGCTCAGCAACACTCGCCACCAGCCAACTGTGCCCTTTGTTGTTGTTGTGAAGTGCCGTCGAGTCGATTCTGACCCATAGCAACCCTGTATAGGGTTCCCGAGGAGCAGCTGGTGAGCTTGAATCACCAACCTTTCAGTTCAAACAACTTTGCAGTCTGGCGCATTAACCCACAGCGCCACACCAGGACTCCAGCTGTGCCCTGGTTGGTAGTTATGTGCCACGGAGTCAGTTCAGACTCATAGTGACCCTGCAGGGTTTCCGAGGCTATAGGCTATAAATCTTTACGGGAGCAGAAAACCTTATCTTTCTCCCACAGAACAGCTGGTAGTTTTGAACTGCTGGCCCTGAGATTGGCAGCCCGATTCGTAACCACTACGCTACCAGAACTCCTTAGTAGAGGCTAAAGTAGCTAGAACGTACAGACCCTCCTCCCTGCCTACCCCCAGGACCTCCAGAGTCCCCTAAGGCCCTGCTACTCAAAGTGTGGTCCATGGGTATCCAGTATCAGCATCCCATGGGAGCTTGTTAGAAACACAGCATCTCCAGCCCCACCCCAGATCTGCTAAATCCAAATCTGCACTTTAATGAGATCTCCAGCATGTAAGATCCAAGGCCATCTTCCTATGATCAACCCCAAACGCTGCATAGAGGCTAAAATCATCCAGGGTGCTTTTAAAAATATCAGTGGCTGGGTGTCATCCCTAGAGAATCTGCTTCGTATGAAACCACCTAGCCACCCACACCCTGGTGTCTCTGCCCTGGGGATCCCTCAGAGCTGATTCTGAGTTCTGGACCCTCCTCTAATGGGCTACATGGCCTTGGGCAAGTCATCACCTCTCTAAGGCTCTCTTTCTCCATATTTACAATGAGAAGCACGTTTCCCTTCCTCAGTTCTGCCCCTAGCTGCCGCAGAGTTGCCTTGAAAAGGAATAGGTTTTCAAACAGAACATCTGCTTTGTTGTTCGGTTTGGGTTTGGGAGTTCTAGTTTCTTTATCTGGAGGTGGAGACATAAGACTCTGCTTGAGATATATCTTCAGATAAGGACATGGGCTGGGCCAGGGGGTGACCCTGTGCCTCCTTCCCTCCCTGAAGAAATGAGCGCATCCCCATCTCATCTCCGTCGCGGGAGGCATCCAATCAATGCACAGAACACCATGGATCTTATCATGCGCCTGGACCTCACACTGGAAAGATTCTACGTGTTTGTCCTAGAGGCAGGAAGAGGTCCTGGCAGGGCTGAGGCTTTGTCAGTGTCAGCTCCAAGAGGGACCATTGGCCGGAGCCTTCTGGAGCTGCCATTGAGACCAAGAGAGCAAGCTGTATGCAGAGGACAAAGATCCAAGGATCTCCCTCAAACCCTGTGGGAATTCCAAGCTCCAGAACGCCCTAGCCTCAAACTGCTTGGGTACAATCCCAGGTCCAGCACATACAGACGTGGGTCCTTGACCAGGTGTCCACTTACCAACCTGTGATGCCAACTAATCACAGTGAAGTGTGGGAGCTGGAACTCCAGGGGGCTGCCTTGCTTTTGCAGTCTCACAAGCTGTCTTTTACAGGGGGTAGCCCTACCCTTTAACCACTTTTCGATCCCCCTCAATTAGTGGAAAATATTTGGCTTCTCATTCTCTGACAGGTTTCTACCTTCCACAGGTTCCAACTTTCACAGGTATCTACTCCACAGAATTATTGAGGGGCTGAGCAAAGTCTGGTTGAACCACAAGATCAGCAGCTCAAGCTCACCAGCTGCTCCTAGGAAACCCTATATAGGATTTCTATGGGTCAGAACCCATGCAACAGCACTTAACAACAACAACAAAGCACTGGACTGCTAGCTGCAAGGTCGGCAGCTCAGCCATCAGTTGCTCCTCAGAAACCCTATACAGGGTTGCTATGAGTTGGAACCGTTTCAACAACAAACAACAGCAAACTAAGATCGTCTAGCTATGTTGGGCACATAGTAAACATTCAGCTGTTAGCTAGTAGTAACAGTATCATTAGAGTTGAAGCCTAGGACTAGTATCCTAGCAGTAAAAGTTACAGAAGTATAATGGCACAGTAGCAGTTGGGTGGTGCTTTACAATAGTAGTTGAAGCATGTTCACAGATGCAGGATGTGAGTGCAGAAAGATCAGGTCAGATAAGATACCTGGCAGCAGAATGTAGTGAGTAAGAGGGATCCTGGAATCAGTTGTCATCACAGAGTCTATTCTGACTCATGTCTTTCACAGTAGAACTGCATTCCATAGGATTTTCAATGGCTGATTTTAGGGGACGTAGATTGCCAGGACTTTCTTCCGAGGTGTTTCTAGTTGGACTTGAATCTCCAACATTTTTTCGGGCTGTGTCTCAGGAGATAATTGGGGAAGATGGTTCTAGTCCAGGTTCTGGAGTCTCCCAGCCTGGTCACCTCCCATATAAAAAGGGACGGGTGGATAGGAGAGGAGGCACTCACGTTTGATACAGTGGTTGGTACTATTCGATGTCGTCCACCCTGGGCAGCACTGTCCCCCGCAGACGTTCCTCCTGTGGGGTCACCAGAACTGGGTGAGCATGAGGATGATCAGAGCAGGGACCATTCACAGAGCCCTTCCGAGAATCCCACCCTGGATATGTAGGCTGGAAAGGGCGGAGGCAGTAGGGCCCTGAGGTAGGTGTTTTGGGATCAGGCAAATCTAAGATTAATCCAGGCTCTGCCATCCTGTGTGTGCTATTGAGAAAGTAAAGTAACCTCTCTACCTCATCCTCATCATCTGTACAATAGAAAGAACACACCTGCCTAATTGGATTGTTAAAATGATTATATGAGATAGGATTGTAAAGCGCTTGCTTGGAGGAAGACACTCAACTGTGGCAATAATGACAGTGACCGTGAAGACAATTTAAAAAGCAACGTGCCAATGGTACACCACCGGAAAGTGGCAGAGCTCAGTTCAAGGCTGGGCTGGCCTTGCCCTTAGCCATGCTCCCATTCTATATTGTCTCTCACCAAAAACTAAATACATGGTCCTCACTCTGCAAATGCTGATCATCCAAGAGAGGCTGGAAGACATAATCCAACAGTCTTAACCAGACACTCTTGAGTCCCATGTGTGTCAGAGTAGAACTGCATTCCACAGGGCTCATAATGGCTCATTTTCCAGAATTCGATCACCAGACCTTTCTTTCACGGTGCCTCTGGATAGACTTGAACCTCGAACCCTTCAGTTAGGAGCTGAGTGTATTAACCATTTGTAGCATGCAGGGACTCAAAACAGTCTTGGTGGTGGTGGTTATATGCCGTGGAGTTGGTCTGACTCATCGCGACCCTGCATAGGGTTTCTGAGGCTGTAAATTGTCACCAAAGCAGAAAGCCTCATCTTTCTCTCACAGAACCACTGGTAGTTTTGCACTGTTGACCATGACATTAGCAGCCAGATTCGTAACCACTAAGCTACCAGAGCTCCAAAACGGTCTTAGGAGCATTCAGATGTGTCCATGAGGAGGCGGTGCCAGTAAGGAAGTTGGAGAGCGGAGCGCTGGAAGGTGAACTGAAGAACAAGGCTCCAGAAGAGGGTCATGTGGGGGGCAGGGGGGCTCAGTGGGTTAGGTGTTGGAGTGGAAGGTCAGTGGTTCAAACCCATCAGCCGTTCCACAGGAGAAAGATGAGGCTGTCTTCTCCCAGAAAGATTTACAGACTTGGAAACCCTACATATTGTTGCTATGAGTCAGAATCAACTTGAGAGCCAATGGGCTTTTTTTGCAGGGCCAAGATGGTGAGAAGAAGAGGCTGGGAACTTGGGTTAAGCTGTCTCTTATTTGGGGAGGCTTTGAGAAGGCTTATGTTCCTCTCCCAGCAGTTCTTGGCACTGGTACTGAGGGCACCCTGGAGTAACAGCTGGGTCACCACTCACCCAGCTTGCCCACACTTTGCCTTCAGTGTTTGTTCTGCTGTCTGGTGAGGCACCCAGGGCCAGTCAATGCCAACAGGCCTCTCAGGGAACCTTGAACCATCAGCAGTGTCCATCTGGTCCTGACTCTTCATCCAAAGACCCGAACACCTAGGCCAGGTGACTTCCCTAGAGAAGACTTCTGGAGATATGGCGCGGGCTGCATGGACCTATCATTGCCATCAGAAATTGTCCACCAAGCACCACTGCAACTGACGTGGGTGTGGGGATGCAGAGGTGTGGGGGCCCAAGCGTTTGGGTGAAGGACAGAGCAGGGTGGTCATTCCTGGGAACGTTTCGGCCAGCATGGTAAGCATCTGGTCCCGCTTAGGAGTTTGTTTGACATTTGAGTGGACCCCAAAGCTTGTGTGGTTTTTGGAGCCTGACAAAGAATTCAAAATAAATTCCTGCTGCTTGCAAAAGCTGAGGCCCATGCCTGGCCTTTTGGCCCAAAGTTGTGGGGAGCTGCCTCCCAGAGAGCTCCCAGAATGTGCCCCTAACCAGAGCTGTGCCGCCCCGGCCATCTGGAAACCTCTCTGGACCACCACCTGGCAGCTTCCCAGAGCTGTGAAGGCCTCCTCTCTATCAGGGTCCAAGTCACCAAGTTCAGGGTAGAGGCTGGTGCCCATACCCAGTGATTCTGAGTGAGTGCTCGGGTGGAAGGGGGAAATTGTCCACCCACTTGCAAGCCACTGCCCCTATGGTAGTGACAAGATCTCTTAGGAGCTAGGAGGTCTGTGAGAGAAAATAGGCTGCATGCCCTAGGAATTGCCTAAGAATGAGGGCCTATGGGAACCCAGACAGCAATGACCCAAAGGCCTGACAGACCAGGCGTGGAGCCCAGCCCCAGAGCCAGCTGGCACCCCAGATACCTTCAGAATAGATAGCTTGTCAGCGGACTGTGAGAGGACAGCAGCAGGGCCTGCCCTGCCTGCCCACAGTGGGACCCTGCCTTCACAAAGCCAGAATGAAAGACTGTCAGGCTGAGGCTGACACTGAAGACAGACTCCGGTCCCCAGTGCAGATCTCTGAGGGACTCTTCCAGACCAAGGGACAAGCTGAGAGACGACCATTCAGCCCACTCTGGGCTCTGCTAACTGGAGGGCACAAATGAACTGACTGCTTGGGGTGCACGGCAGTAACAATGGACTCAAAGTTACCAAGAATCACGAAGCTGGTGCAGACTGGGCAAACGCTTGGTACTACTGCACAACAGTCGCCATGAGTTAGAGCCAACAAGCAGTAGCAGCTGGGACAAGAGATTCAGTGGCTCTGGTCCGCTGGAAGGTACCACTCAGAGATTGTCTAGACCCCATCTTCCACATGCCACTGCTCAGCTAACGGGAGCTGAAGACCCAGCGTCACTACCCAGTCTTTGAGACGGCGAACAGATTTATTCCACCTGCGATAAATCTGACGATGCTGGTCCTTTGTTGAAAACCTCCCAGAAGTCGCCACTGTCCCCACCCACCTGTGCAGTCTAGCTTCTCCCACCAGCCCCCTTCCCCCATCTCCACGACCATCCACAACCTTCAGGGAGACAAACTGTCTTTGCTCAGTTGCATCACATATGTTGACACTTGGAAGCCTTCACTTAAGTTGCTTTTTCAGCTAGAATGCCTTCTTTCTCTCTCCTCCTAGCCAACTGAAGTCCTTTGTATACCCCAAGACTTCCCAATCAAAAGTCTGATTTACCCAAACTTCCCCATGATCATTTAACACTGATTGTCTCAACTTGTTGGCTCTATATGACTCCTTCTCCCTGGATCTCTTTCTTCCTCCTTTTTGTGTCTCTCGGTCTAACACAGTGCCTGGCACATGATGCAATTTTAGTACTTCTGTGCTTCACTGAGTACAGTGTTTCTCCCAAAATGGGAGGAGCTGCAGTGAAGGTGAGCAAGATGACCTGGGGTTTACACAGTACTCAACAAAACTGAGTCACATGGTGAGAACTGTGATCTTCAAGTCTCCATCTGAGCCTCTCCCAGTATATGTCAGTCTCCCTTTTAAACAAGGAGTACAACCCACAAGGTTGAGCTTTCAAAAACAATGGGTCAGGTTAGAATTTTAAAAACACTTTGTTCTCGTCATTTTTTCCTTCAGTTACCTTCTCTTTATGACAACTTGTGACCTTATGATCTTGAGTTTCCTTTTAAAATGGATTTGTTTATATAGACCAGTGAGTCAACCACTGTTTGTAACATCAAAGAATGTAACTCATCTAAACATCCCAAACCAGGAGGATCGAAAACTAGACTCCAATGAAGTAATATACAACAGTTAAAATGAATAAACTGAGGCTAATTAGAGTAACAACCATCAACACTCACCGAAGCAGCAGTCAAGAAATCAAACGACGTATTGCATTAGGCAAATCTGCTTCACAAGACTTTTTAAAGTGTTGAAGAGCAAAGATGTCAACTTGAGGACTAAGGTGTGCCTGACCCAAGCCATGGTATTTTCAATAACCTCATATGCATGTGAAAGCTGGACAGTGAATAAGGAAGACCGGAGAAGAATTGATGCTTTGAGTTATGGTGTTGAAGGAGAATATTGAAAGTGCAATGGGCTGCCCAAAGAACCAACAGATCTGTGTTGGAAGAAGCACAGCTAGAGTGCTCCTTGGAAGCCTGGAAGGCCAAACTTTGTCTCTCATACTTTGGACATGTTGTCAGGAGGGAACAGTCGCTGGAGAAGGATATCATGTTTGGTAAGGTGGAGGGTCAGAGAAAAAGAGGAAGACCCCCAACAAGATGGATTGGCCAAGTGGCAGCATCGATGGGCTCAAACGTAGCAACAATCGTGAGGTTGGCCCAGGACCAGGCAGTATTTCGTTCTGTTGTGTATAAGGTCACTATGAGTTGGTACCAATTTGATGGCAGCTAACAACAACAACAATTATAGTAATATGGGTCAAGCTCAAAAGTCTTATGGGGGGAGCAGAGAAACTTGTAAAAGGAAAGTCATATCATATAGTACCACTTATATAAGTTTAAAATAAAATATGTAAAACCAGTATCATGTACTTTTACGTGTATACGTATCTGTCGAAGTCGTATGAAAACATACATGGGGATGGTAAGTAAACTCAGCACAATGGATAACTCTGGGGGGAAAGGATGGCAAATTTATAGAGGAAACTTCCCCAACAGCATTTTCTATGCTTGTAAAATATCCTAATATTTTTTAAAATAGAAAGAACACAAAATCCTGTCCTTTTAAAAGTTTTTAAATTTAAAGAAAAATCTTCATAACAAAATGAGAGAGAGAAAGAAGAGGAAAAAGAAATTGTGAAGACAGCATATGATGTGAGGTTGGTTCAAGCATCACTGAGGCTGGTGACACACTGACTTAATGAGTCCCCTGCAGAGCGTAAGTTTCATCCATGAGCACAAGGGCTGTCACTTTTAGCCACTGCTGAATCCCCAGCGTCCAGCACTGTGCCTGGCATGTAGGAAGCCTTCCACATATATTTGTTGAATGAATACATGAAAGGATCCCCAGTAGTAATGAGGCAATCCCAAACTTTACCACCAGGTGGCACTTTGTCCTTGGCCCTGAACTGACTGACCACAAGGCATCTGCTAGAGCAATCAATCTGGCTGGTAGCCATTGGCTAGGAAAGGACTGGGTAGAGAAAGCCAATGGATAAGATTGTCACTTGGCCTCGTGCCAGCTGACAAGCTGGAGTGCCAGAGGAACCAACCCTTTATCAAAGCTGCAGAAGATAATCTGGGGAAGGAGCCAAGGATTGAACATGTGATGTGTGCACCTGCATACAGCAGGTGCCTGTAGGTGCTCCCAGCCCATGTCCTCCCTCACACACCTGTGCATATCCATCAGTCTTATTCTGGTGATGATCTGCTTGGCTCATCACCACTTCATTTCCTGACTTCTAAACAGCCCACCTCCCAACACTCACCCTTCACTCCTCCACCTGCACCCACCCCTTACATCATTCCTGCCTACATGTCGACACGACCCAGGGACTTCAAAAAGTTCATGGGAAAACTCCACTCTCATTTCATTCGATGGGTCCATGAACTTTTTGAAGACCCCTCAAATAAGGTCTTCTATGATCCAGCCTCAGCACTCACAGCTCCTCTACACCAGGGTTGCAGTCCCGACCCTGGACGTGCCATCAGTGACACATCTTGTCCTTGGGCAATGCTGCACCTTCATGCAACCTCACCTCTGGAGCCCACTCCCTTTCCCTCCTGCTTCCCCACATGCTGTTGTTTGAGTCCCAGGGGCTCTCTGCTCACACAGCTTTCCTCTCCTCTGAGCTCCTCGACGACTTCTGAGTGAAGCTTCCAGCACCAGAAATCACATTCACCAGTACACATCTGTTCATTTCTCCAACTCAATTTCATGTCATCTATTCTCCAAGAATAATGCCTTGTCTCTGGGGTCCTGCCCTTTAAGCCATGCTCCACATACATGCTGATACAAAGCAAATATTCATGTGCACAGGTTAGGAAAATAAAATTAAAAAATGGAAACGTGGCAGAAGCTTCAGAAATACTTGTTGAGTGATACAATAAGGAAAAGACTCAGCTTTTCTGGGCCTTCCATGAGCAGAAGGGAGGGAGTTCATTCACTCATTCAACAGATGCTTAATGAACTACCAGCTCTCTGCAGGCACTGGGGACACAACAAGGAACAAAGTTCCTGTTTCCTGTTTTCATGCAACTTACATTAAGTGGGCCCTCCCATGTGTAATATGTCAGATTGATAAGCATAAATCAGGATGAAGGGAGAGAGTGATGGAGCAGGGTGTTCAGAGAAGGCCTCTTGGATCAGAATGAACAGAGGGAGTAAGAAGGACTGAAATTATGGGGAAATTGTTCCGGCCAAGTGCAGAGAGCATGAGGCAGAAACCTCGGAGTAGAATCGGATTACACTAAACCCAAATGGTAGATAGGGGACAGGCCAAGACCGATGGCATCTCTACCCAGCCTGTGCCCTCCGCTCTGAAGACACATGTCATGCCCAAACTAAGCTGAATGCCTAGCACTCATGATGAGCCCCGATTGGGGGAGGAGGTGCCGGGGAGTCTCCCTGCCGGCACTGAGTAGTCCAGGGTGAAGAGCTAGGGAAGTGTCGCCCTGAAAGGTGGTCCCGACCCCGAGATACACAGGCGCATTTTGTTAAGTGCTGTCAAGTCGATTCAGACTCACAGCGACCCTGTGTAGGGTTTCCGAGGAGCAGCTGGTGGGTTTGAACTGGCGTCCTCTGAGTTCGCAGTCGACTTCTGATCCTACAGTGCCACACCAGCGCATACAAAAACCCAATTCTCGACCTATTCACCGTGCCGCAGCCACATCAGGGGCAGGCTTCCTGCCCAAAGGGCCCTTTGAGCCTGCGCCTACCCCCGCCCCCACCTCCATGTCCTGCCCAGGCCGACCTGCGCCCCAGCCCACACTCTTGTCTATGCGTCTGCGCTGCTGCCAGCCTCCTTCCCCAGACGCTTCAGCTTTCCGACTCCTTTCAACCCTGAATCCGAGCGCTTCCTCTCGAATCCCGGCCGCGCTGAGCACTCGGGCCACGCAGAGGTCCCTTAAAGAAGGATTTCACGTCGGGGATCTGCACCAGCTAGTGCAAAGAAGTGGGAATGGCGGAGAAGTGGGAATACTCTTTCTCTAAACTCCTCGAAAGCACCTCAGACTCGGTGCTATATCCCCGCAGCACCGAGGCCAGGGGACGCAGGGCTCCCTCTACTCTCCGCTACACACTCCTCCACATGAGCGCGCGCACGCTAGCCACAGTCCTCGCTCCTCCCAGCCACCTCTCCCGTGCTCACCCCGTGAGCCGCCCTCGCGTTGGAGTTGGGGGCGCAGTCCCGGGCCGCTGCGAGGTCCGGGGGCGAGATCGAGCCCAGGCAGCCGGGGACTGGGCTGCGGACTGCTGCTGGCGCAGGGGACTGCTTCTCCGCGGCTGCGCAGGTGGCTGGACACGGCGCGGCTGCAGCGCGCGGGGCGGCATCCTGGCCTCAGCCTCCGCGAGACTTCTGGGGCTCCCCCAGCCCGGCTGCGCCCTCTCAGCGGCAGTCAATCTCAGGTCGGACGCGTCTTGCTCTCGGAACAGACTGTACACTTTTGCTGCGGATGCCGTGGGGTGCCTGCCCCCAGGGCGCCTCAGCCGATTCGCGTTTCTGCCAGCTGTCTCGTATCTCCCCATGGGGTCCCTCTGGGCTTGACCCATGCCCGCGAAGAGAACCAGGAGGAGCGGCAAGAAGTCCCTCCAGGGGTTCCGCAGGACAAATCCGGAGCAACGGGTGGCCGGCGATGGCCTCATGACGCGGGGGGCGGCGGTGAAGCCGTGCGCTTGGGAACTTGGGGTTGGCGCGCCCGAACTGCCCGCCGTCTACGCTCCAGATTCTGCCAGGCGGCTCGTTTTCTCCTGGTCTAGAAGGCCGTTGAATCAGCCGACTGAGGCGGACTGTCCCGGGAGCGTGGGCCGGGCAGCGAGTGCAGCTGGGGTCTTCGCGACGTGCGCCTGACGTCCACTCTAGGTCTCCAGCCCTGCGCGCACCGCCGCTGCACCTTCGCGCCTCCTCGCCTCTTACTGAAGACTTCTGGAGGAAACCGGAGGGTTTTATTTTTGGAAACCTCCCCCTGCTTTTTGGCCTTTTATCCACACCATGCCCCCTCCTCGGAGGGACAGCTCAGCCCCCTCATTACGGGAGAGGGAGAGAGGAATTCCAGCAACACCCACTTTGGCACCGGGAAGCGAGCAGGCGGCGAGGGCGATTAACCCCTGAGGAGCTTGGATGGCGCAGGACTAACCCGAGGGCTGGTAGGGGAGATGGCGCTGCCAGACAACACCTGTGCTACCTTTCCCAGACCTGGGCAACTTTCGACCTGTCCCGAGTTTAACTGCAGCTCTGACCACCGAAACATTCCCGGCTGGATGACCAAGGCAGTAGCCTTGAAGGTCTCTTGGAGACTTGGCGAGGTACTGAAACTTTTGTGGCAGAGGCAGGGGGCTAGGGATGGACTTCAGGCCCTTACGCTTCCTGCCCCAGCCGCTGGGGGCGCCCTCCCGGAGTGTGAGCCGGCGCTGGGCACCGCCAGGGAGCTTGCCTCGCTCTGGAAGGTCGCCTGGGGGCGCGCGCCCTCTAGTGGAGTTAGCCTCTTCCTTGGCCATTATGCAATTTGAGAAATGAGAAACGTGCCGCCGCTAGGCGCCTGGATAGTGTGTGGCTGAAAGCTCTGAACTCCAAAGTGGCCTTCATCGCTGTCTAAAGTCTCTTTAATGCTAGAAACTTCCATTCCTTCCCTCCTTGATTTTAATCTTGCGTCACAGGCGGTGGTGATGGCGGAAGCTGGAAAGGATGTCCTCTTTTCACATTAATAAGAATCAAGTAACTCAGTCCCCTGGATTCTCCCACCCAGACTCTGATTTCTTGGGCAATTTTCCAAGGAAGATTCTCTGAGTTTCTGACTGAGCTGGTATTCAAACCCAGAAGAGGAGTGTGAACTCACATTTTCTTGTGTTGGCAGTGAGGGACTTAATGCCCAATGCTGTCCAGCTGAGCACCCCCACAATCAGCTTAAGTGCACACCCATGGCCTCCCGCTCTTAAAGGTCCCGGCTAACATGGCTGCCCCTGGTGCATTATTTGACAGACAGTCAAATGTCATTAGGTCGTTCCGAATCAATGCGACCCTGTATAGGAGTTCCAAGGCTGGTGGGTTTGAACCGCCAACCTTGCGGTTAGCAGTCCAATTCTTATCCTCCACACTACACCAAGAGTCCATTTTACAGCCTCAGGTTACCCAGTTCTGGAGGCAGAGCAGGCAAGAGGGTACCACTTTGCATCTTCCCACACTATACAAAAGACCAGCACAGTTGCTACCTCATGTTGGAAGAAGTTTCTCTCAAGAATACACTTGTCTTAGTCTTGTCGAGGTGCCACTTTTTTTAAGGTCCAATCCTTACCTTGACCTGTTGTTGAAGTGCCATTGAGTGCATGGTTTCTGAGGAGTGCCTGGTGGCTTTGAACTGCTGACTTCGTGGTTGGCAGTACAGTGCTGATCTTACAGCGCCACACCAGGACTCCGCAACCCTAAGTGATCTGACTCCCTTGCTCAGAGCTCACCAAACTGCGCAACATTGGCCTTCTTTCTGATCCTGAAATAAGTCAGGCTAGTGCGTGGCACTAACTTCTCCATGTTTTTCTGGGTTTAATTCATCACTTTACCCACCTCTCAGTTCAAATATCACCTGGAGTGACTGTCCCTGACTCCTCAATGCAAAGCATCCCCACCCCTCCTCCATCAACCACCAAGTCACATTCTACCACATCACCTTGTTTTATTATCTTCATTGCTGTGATGAATAGTTGAAATGATTTGTTTACTTGTACTCATGTAACTGATTTGTTGAGTTGGCTGAATCTGAAGAGAGACAATCAGGAAATGGCTTTCTGTTTCTCCACCCACTTCTTTCCATGCTGTTACGGTGACTTTCCCTTCCCCACCCTCATGACATCTCAGAGTCCTTGGCTTTTCCATCCCCATAAATCACAAGGCCAGTCTCATTTTGGTAATTATGACCACTTTTCAGGGACAAAAAATTCTGGTCCTGTCCAAGACAAAACTGCAATCTCATGTCTAATTGAAAAATCCTCTCCTCCCTCCACAGACCCATCGTAGTGGGGAGATCAGGAGATCAATGAGTGGTCTTGTTTTGTATCTTCTTTTTTTTCTGTGGCTTTTCCCTGTCGGGGTCAGGAAGAGGGGTTGAAGGGAAAGTGGCAGTCTTACATGACAGGTACCCTTGATTGGCAGGTGCTATGCATTGGCTTTCACGGGTACATTTGTAGATTTTTTGGGAGGCTCTCTACAGGACTACAATGCCTCCACGCCCCACCCCCACCCCCAGTTAGAATACAGCACAGTTTGGTCAACTTTATGCAAAGCCCTGCATCTTCTGCCCTGTGTGGGGTTTTCATATCCATGCCAGACAAATCAGTGGTGAGCTGGTTGCTCTTCACTCTGCCATAGAGCCCGTCCCCCATCCTGCCCCAGCCCCCACAGTCGGAATCCTCCAGACCGGAAGTGTACAGCTGCAGATGCAGCATTCTGGTTCTCAATTCCTAGAGATGATGGTGGTGTTGTTAATGCCATTAAGTCCGTTCTGGGTTTCCAAGGAGCAGCTGGTGAGTTTGAACCACCAACTGCAGTTAGCGGTCTAGTGCCATACCAAGTCTCCAATTCCTAGCGATGTGGTGGTGGTGGCTATGTGCCGTGGAGTCGGTTCCGACTCATAGCGACCCTATACAGGGTATCTGAGGCTGTAAATCTTGACAGGAGCAGAACGCCTCATCCTTCTCCCGCGGAACAGCTGGTAGTTTCAAACTACTGACCCTTGTGGTTCGCAGCCCAATTCGTAACCACTACGCCACCAGAGCTCCTTAATTCCTAGCGATAGATCAGAGTAAATCAAAACATATAGCTACTAGGGTTTCCATTCATACATAACTTTATTCCAAGCAAAATGTGTTTACATGTGTCTCTGCCATCAGTGGATGGCTGCAGACGAGGTGTTTCAGGAATACATTTGTTTTAGTTTTGTCAGGGTGCCTCAAATTTTTTTTAAAAAAGGGCCAATCAAAACAATTGCTTCAGAGAAGATCTGCTGGGCCAGATAAATTTAAGGCAGGAAGGTCAGCTTAGAAGATTATGGCAAGTGGTTTTTGGAGATTCCAAAGGGATATGATTTTCTCAGGACAATCAATGTTGGGGCTTCTCATGAAGGCGTTTTAAGGAAACTGAAAACTGCATTGTGAGAAAAGGGCAGGAAAGTTGCACGGAGGGAATTTTTCCCATCACAGGGCACCTGGCTCATTCTTTGATGGTAACAAGGCTTGTCCTGTGAGAATTTTGTTGGGCAACCTACAGCCTGATATTGACCCTTCAGGCTTCTTTTGGTTCCCCAAACTCAAAGGACATTTAAAAGGAACACAACTTGTGTCCCCCAAAGATGCCAAAACTACTGTTAACTATTGATACCGTGTAAATCAAAAAGGGCAGAATTCGTCGGAGAAGGGTTTGTTGTTGTTAAATACCATCGAATCTGTTCCCACTTACAGCCACCCTGTGTAGGGTTTCCGAGGAATGGCTGGTGAGTTTGAAGCACCAACCTTGCGGTTCAACCTGCCTTTCAGCCCAGTGTTTATCCTACAGCTTCACACCATGACTAGAGAGATGGGAGCACCCCCTTCGTAAGTGTATAGACCTAGATGGAAAATATGTTCAAACTAATAGCTTCACATTTTGATATTTTTGCTTAATAAAGATGTCTATGATTAAGGCACTTGTTCTCTAGCTCAGTGGCTTTCTTTAGTCCCTTCCATTTGTAGACTGGGATTGAGGAATGAAACTGAATAGTTGTTGAAAGCATTTTGCCTTTAGTAAAGTATTTGGCACTTTTCTTTATAATGTGAGAATATTAGCAACAAAAGACCTGTTCAACAATGCATAAAACTGGTTATCGTCTGACTTCTCAAAGTGAGAGCGTTACAAAAATAGCTATCTTGCTTGCATTGCTTATCACTGTTTCTCCAAATCCTAGAATAGTGCTTGGCTCTAACAGAAAGGCAAGAAATAAGTACGGAATGGATAACTAACTGATTGAGTAACAGAATTAATCCCACCAAGCAGACATCCATTCAATTCATTCTGAGAGAAGAACGAGGTTGTGGGTGATAGTTACTGGCCTAAGCTCAATCAATGCTTGTTGCCTTTCTGTCTAGCCCTAAAGGACTTTAGGTGTATGTCTCCTTGATTTGGAGGATGAATGCTTTCTCAATTTCCAGGATGCTCAGTTCCCTTTCTGGCCATGGTTCAATCTCAGCACCACATGTCTATCTCCTTTTCAGATACCTGCTCAACTCTGACTCCAGGCTTCCTTCTCCCCATAATCTGCCCAGTTCCTTCAGGAGCTCTCCTCTTCATCCCTCAACACTCACCTCCGGTCCCTACGAGCCCCTCCAGGCCAGAAACCTTGGCATCATCTTCATCCCTGAGCTATTTTTTCCTTCTGTGTGTCCAAGTCATTATTCCAGCGCCGTCTCCTCTGTCTGCACTTCTGGAAGTCTGCCGCCCATTCAGCCTCTCACCACTCGACCTCAGCCAAAACCATCACAGACACACTGCCCTCACCACAGGAGCCCCTCCTACTCCTTGGTGAGTTAAGTGGTCCTTGGAAATCCCCACCCTTACTCCTGGGGGTTCACGGTCTGGCAAATTGACTCCAAAGACTGGCATCTCCTGGCCCCACCCAACCCAGCCCCATCTTCCTTGTCCTGCCTCCCTGTTACTGCCATCATCACTCCCTTCCCTGTGACTGCTGGGACCTGTAGACATGGCTCTTCAAAATCTCTGATTCCATAAACACTTTGAATTGTGTATGTGTGTGTGTTTGTGTGTTCAAAGCTGCCAAAATGTCTTGAGCCTACTATGGCCCAAACACTGTGCTAAGCACGCTACATGAATCAACTCATCTAACTAAACAAAAGAGATATTATGGTGATTGCACTATAAAAAGGAGAAAACTGAGCTTGGGGAAGGTTACAGGCTTGCCCAAGATCACTTAGTTGATAGGGAGCAAACCCAGGATTCAAATCCTAGTCATTTC